GGGAGGTTGGGGGTGCTCCTTTGAGAGGCACTGGTCCCCGCGCCACCCTTCCCCCTCTATTTTTCCCCCGGGTAGAAATTCCATTCACCGGTCCCACTTGCCGCGTGAATACGAGCTCGCTGATACATAGGAAAGAGTGGCGGCGTAAACCACTGTAACCGTGTAAATTGAGAAAAAAATTGAATGTCATCGCACAATTGATCGGTATTTACACAAAACAGCCATGCAACCTCTGATTACCTGCACTGGGTTGCAGCAGGGTTACCATGCCGATAGGCTTGTCCTCGGTGGATATGGAAGCTTGTCCACAGATAACGCAATCAAAAACTTCTTCCCTTTTCTCTTTGGGCATGCCATCTGCAGCGTCTAGGGCAACTAAGAAAGACACGTCAAGTACAACAGTAATCTGTATTAACAACAAAACATAACATTACAAGGGACCTGCGAGTAGCTCCAACGAACCATTTGTTTGACGTTATTAATGTTGTTGTTGCTGTTGTACTTTTAGTTGCTGTTGTTGTTACAGTGGCCAAATCAGTAACGTGTGCCGGAACGAAGCCATAAGGCGCAAGCGCTGTGTCAATGTAAAATCTCGCCAATTTTACTTCTCAGAAGATTAAAAATCTTCGCGTAGTTCTATTTTCAACACCACAGCCCAGAACTTTCCTTGAAAAAAAATTATATTTTCTTAAGTCTAAACAGGGCATACCTGGGTCTTTATTCAGGGTTTTCTCCATAAAAAGTTTCTGCTTGGAAGCAAACTCTGCTAAAAGCTTCTGCTGGCGTTCTCTGGCGAGCTGTCGTCTGAACAAGTAACAAAGTGTAAAGAACAGAATACAATTTTAGTTAACATATTCAGAAATTTTTCTACAACTAAACTTCAACAGTTTGGGTAAATTCACAGCAAGGGCCGGGTTACGTCTTTAAACTTTGGTAAACGCAATAAGTAGAGGGGCTAATCTTGGTTCTCTTTTAACTAAGGAAAGTAAAGTGATAAAACTGCTGAAATCTTAATTTATTGATCACCGGAAATAAATTTTAGTTAATCGACAACTCGTGTTTGAGCTTTGTCGGATCCCCAGTGATTTTCACGTGCAACCTCGTGAGCTGAACTTATGAACCCTTCATTGTTTATTTGACCAATCACACGTCACTCTGCAATGTTCAATAACTTGCATTCCCCCGTGCTTTATCAGTGTGTTTTTCTTCGAGGCCAAGCACAATCTCGGTGGGGGAATGCTTTGCATTTGTGGGGATGAAGTGCTCCTCTCGTCTCACTTTTGCCGCCATAGACTCGACATTTTGTACTCCTGCAATGTACGTATAGCATAGTGGGGGTCCTAGGGAGGCCCACGACTGGTCACAGCCGACCCTGAGGAGAGGCCCAACTCCCTCCCCTATATCGGTCTGTGCACCTTCCATATCTACCCAGGAACGGTCACAGTCGGCCCTGGGAGGAGGCCCAACTCCCTCCTCCATACCGGTGGGTGTACCACCCTGGTGGTAGGTTTTCTCTAGCTCATAAAAATCCAGGAGTACATGGAGCTGACCTTTTAGGTTTCAGTGTAGCACTTTGTCTCCCACTTCCCCCTCTTGAGCCACACCAATGTTGTTGTTTTGTTGCTGTTCAGTATAATATTTTGGGTCCCCAAACATGAGGAAGTCGATTAAATAGGTACACAACAGGGCGACAGACCAAAATATCCCTACGTACTGAGGCAGTTTTCAAACGATTGTTGACTGTAAACCAGGGTTGCTTTAATTTTTCTTTCTTTCGCTTTGTGATTACTCCAGAAAACTCACGCCATCCTTTCGGCCAAATCGATTCAAAACTTGAAATGGTGGCGACTTGGGTCGTGCACATGTTCCCACGGTCCAGGCATTTACAATTTTGCGTTCTCATTGGCCTCTTTTGATAAAATTTTCTCCTACGATTAGCCACTGTAATTATTTTGGTGTTGGTTTTACGACACGCGATACGACACGATACAAAGATTTCTCTCACACATACTTGCGCATGGTCCTGGCTACAGAATCATCCATATCACTGTCAGGGGAGGAGGGACTGGGGCTCACTTGTAAAGCTTGTGGTTGGACCTTGCGCAGTGCTGCAGCATTCTCGGGACTGGACCTACCAATCACGTCTAACAAGTCTGACAAGTAGTGCACATCGTCAACATACGCAGGACTCCTTTTGTTATAGAAAACAAGAAATTCAATCAAAGATCTGAAATATTTTCTGAGTTATGAAAGTCTCACTCGTCCAGGCTTAAACGAGGCTTACGATGCATTTGTCATATAACCTCTACCATCTCTATCGACTGTATTTACAAAAAGTGCAATTGTGCAGCAAATAACCACTGTTTGCTGAAACCTTCCCAAAAATAAGGAAAAAAGAAGAAAGAAAAAAGAACAAAAAGCTTGAAATAAAACAAGTAAAGTCACGAACCAAAAATCTGTCTACTTTTTTATTTCATTTTCCACATCAGAATACGAGCAAGCCTGGAATTTACCTCAGTGTTCAATCCCCTTTTCTTGGCTTGCAATTAAGTTTTGTCTGCGATGAAATAATGAATTTGCTTTCCATTCATTACGTGTGATCGTGCTTGAAAACCAATTGTTGCCAAAGCATACGAAACGCAAAAACTCCAGTCCTAGCGAGTTCGCGAGTAAGGGATGTGCTCTTGCGTGTTTTTTCAGTAACGAAAGAATTGCTAAGCATATTACATCATAGTCTACCACATTTAACAATAACAGCTTTCTTGGATTTAACCATTTTCTCATTTTACAAACCACGTTTCACCAACCTTCCTGGTGATGTAGAACTGGTGTTAGCCTTGGCTGATAACAGCTTCAGCAACAGGCTTAAAATACTTTCGTTAATTCCCTCTGCCGAACACGAACTTGAGTCCTCCGACTTGCCTGGAGTCCCCACGGTTGCATCAGAAGACGTCATCGCACAAGAACTCGTCTCCATAGCAACATCACCAACTGCCTCCTCCAAATCCGGCATGGCTTCTTGCTTGCTGAAATGTAGTTCCATGGCCATCTCTAGGTTACCTCTGCAGGCTTTCAGCAGATTTATTGCAGTAACTAGTGGAAAAGAGAAAGTGGTATTGTTGTATGTAAACTTAACTTCAAAACAACGCACCTAACTTTACATGACTTTGAATTCTCCAAGTAAAATAGTGCATGCCTTAGAAACCAAAGAGAATTTAAGAATGACTTAAGCTTTTTTACAAATAAGCGCTTCCCTGTCATACAAACCAGTACCTTCACTTGAATTGGTTACATCCATGAACTGTTGCACTAGCCCTTTAAATGACGCTGTATTCACAATCGTCAAGCCGCCTCTCTCTTCTGAGCCGATCGATAACAGCTCAAGTGAATCTTGCACGCCACCCTTGGTCGGCTGTGGCGCAGGTGGGCTGGTATACCTATTCTCAATGTCCGCTGACAGAAAAAAAGAAATTTCCCATAAGAATTCAAGTATCAAAGATATACTATCTTGCAGGTCTACAGTGAACACACCGGTATCATCGCATGTATCCATTGGTTCTTGCACTGGTTGAACCACGTGACGAATGTTTACCACCATGCTATTGGAAGTAAAACCCAAATCAGCGATAGTCTTTGGCCATCCAGCTAGAGTGTGGTGAGTCTGGAAGAGATAAAAAAGGTAAGGGCACATAAAAATTACCAGTTGGACTGACAGGCCTCAATCAGCTCGGACAAAACCTCAAAGAAGTTTCATATATTGACAGCGACAAAGAAATTAGAGATTTTTAGATTTTAGGACGTGTTTGACTACAAGCATGAGATTTCGATTCAAGTTTTTTTGCACAGTATTTTAAAAATATACGGCTCGTGAAGTTCCACCGTACTCTTCATAAGCCAAAGAACTTGCGCAGATATCACTATCGGAATTAATTGAGCCTTTCCCTGATTGTAAAACTAAAAAACTGCGAACGCATCGGTATTTTGGGATCGTCCCTTCGTCATATTCGCAATAATATTGGCGGCGTCTGCGTCTCTCCCGCCATAACAGCGCATGTTCGTTCGAACCCACCATTCCCCTTTGGGAAAATCTGGAACTCGCAGTCGCACTGGTCTTAAATTCTAAAGGTCCCTATAAATGACAACAATGGAAAAGTATCGCTCTAACGAGTCAAAAAAAAAAATAGTACTGAGTGAGTTAATTGAAACACTCTTCTTACCCTGAAAAGCCACTGGTGGTATTTGTTGAGATACATCAGCAACATGGAAAGCTCTAAGGGCTAAAAACATTAATTAAATGTTAATAGAAGAACCGAACTGGCGTGACGCGCACGGTACACGTAATCGCACGGTGATCGTGCGCGTGTTCAGACATTTTCAAACGTGCAATCTCGATATCAGGTACCGCTTACGATTATCTCGCGTGTGCGATGTTGGTTCTGCAACGCGCGAGTGATTACAAGAAACAAACAAACACTTACCTGGTTTTCGTCACTTGCAAGAGCCAGGTTTTTGGATGGTATGTTGAGCCTTTCCGATACACTTAAACAAAAAAACGAAAGGCAAGTAAACACAGAGTAAATGAAAGAAATTGAAAAAAAGTCGTCAAACAAAGTCACAGGCGTTAACCAAATTAATCCTGAGCTCAGTTCCACCACCCTTCTGGCAGCTGTACATATTTTCCTTCGTCAAGTTACCAAATTTATATATTCTCGTCACTTTTTTGCTGGTTAATGTGATGAAATTGGAAGGAGAGTTGGATGTGAAATACTAAGGAGTTTAATAAAAATAATAATAATAATAATAATAAATAATGCACGCATTGTAAATCATATGTGCAAGAGAGTTGTGACGCTTGAAATGAGCTGCCCGTGGGTTAACAATCGGACAAGAAAGGATGAAGAGAAGACACTGAAGTACGGACCCCTTCGCTGGGAACTAAGGCAGCAATTCACTATAGTCACTAAAAGTATTTACAAAAATTGTGATAAAAATTGGCCCGCTTCGTTTAATAATAATGATAACAATTATTTACAATTTTAAACCATATATATCTACTTATTTACAAATTTTTAAAATACTTAATATTAATGTTCACGATAGAGGACTGATTACAATATGTGAGAAAAGAAAAACTTAGCATTACTAAATAGGAAAAACTATTAATATAATAAAGACCTAAAAATTATGAGTGCAGATGTAAACCAGCTACAGCGAGGGTGAAGTCTTCTGCGACCTCGCGTGATTTAAACGGAACTCTAGAACCTCTTACGCATCTGTGTACAGTTCTTAATATGGCTAATGAAAGTTGTATTCGTAGCCAGGAAATAACGCTGGCACAGGGTTCATTATTCTTGTTCGAAAGCTTATTTGCGAGGGTTCTTAAAAAGTTCTGACAGTCAAGTCCCATGCCTCCGTTTGTACCAAACACCAACAGAGTAAAAGTTCCCATTTCCACCTCCATCACTCTCTGGTTGTATTACCTCTTCTTCTCGTTTTCTTGCTCTTTGTAGATCGTAGCTGTGGACTTGTCCTGGTTGGACCTGGAGTTAACATACGTTACACGTACGTCGAAAAATGCTGTTACTCCTGGTGTCCAAAAGCCTCCTGCCCTCATGTCCAGCCTCGCCTCTCGACTTGTGACAGTTGACTGCTGGTTAAAAAAAACTTCATTGTCGAGCGGTTGCAGAAGTGGCTCTGTCTNGCAGAGGGCAGTGCTCTCGGGCACGCTGAATATTGCCCGGACTTTCAAGATGGCAGTTTGAGTTCCTGTTAGAAGGACGACCGTAGACACAACGGAAAAGCTTTTTTGGATTAGTTAAAGTACTTTTATTTTTTACTCCATGGCTCACAGGTTACGGTTTTCGCCCTGTGCTGCCTGATAAGAATGTAGCATTCAGTTGATTTCTCTGCGATRATAATAATATTTAAAGAGGATACTTCCATTACATTGAGTGGTTTTCAGGGGGGTCCACCGACTAAAAATACATTCAGATTAGATTAAAAAAAATAAATAATTTGTAGATGTAGATGTAAAGAAGCATATAAAAGCACTAAGATTAAAATACTAAAATTAAAAATATGCTAAGGTGTATAAGGTAATTTAAAAAAAAAATTATAAGTGTCTGTTAAAAATTAATGGTGGCATAGGCTTTTTCAACTCAGGCGGAAGTGCCAACCATTCGTTTATTGCTTGATAAGATGTTATACGTCGTCCCCCAATCCGTTCTAATTCTGCCAAAGCGTGGAAGGTGTTAGGGTTGATGGCCTTGGACACGCACGATACAACGAGAATGTGATGCCTGCGATGTTGGCTTTTAGTCATTAACGTTGTATAAAAGAAACCCTTCTAAGCGGCAAAGTCCGTGGTCTAGGTCTTTGTAGCTCACTGGTAGAGCTTCAGAATGCGAAATCAGAACTGACTTCAAGGTACGAATCATCCCGAGGAACTCAGATGTTTCTTTTACTCGCGCTCGAGACAAATATTCAACACCTTTCCTTATTTAAACCGAAAAAAGTTTTCAAGTTGAGAAAATATGTTTCGTCTAACTTAGGTGAACGACTTCACCCAATGAATTCAACCAACTTTCCCCACACCAAAGCTGCTGCTCTCCAAATTCATTTCGTTTTAAGTCAAATTACCTGACAAGGTGCCTGGTTAGTTTTGTAATGAGATCCCGTCTTTGAGGTGGCTGTTGGTCTATCAAAAACTGAATGTGTTGCAGCTGGGCTATTTTCTCTAAGGTACTACTTTGGTTTTCTGAAATCAAATAATACACGGTACAGGTCAGTTACCTGGTTACCTACCTATCTCGGTGGTGCAACATAGTCAAAGATATCTTGAAGAACGATGGTTTTTCTTCGTGTCACGAGCGTGGGGTTAAGAAAAACACTCTGTTCTTAGTCCCCATAAGAAAAAAATCTCTGACATTCGGAATCCGCACACTGATGCTTTAGCTTAGTATCGACTGAGCTCAGCATAGAGTTTTCAGTCACTCAATGATAGAGCATCGGAGCTAATACTCCGAAAAACAGAGTTATGTTATTGTTGTTGTTGTTGTTGTTGTCCCACGCTCGTGACAAGACCGAAAAACATCTTCATTTATTTCATGACCGAGTTCAAAAAATTCGTCATCCGTCTTATTTTAAGCACTCAGAGAAATCTTGTTCGAATCGAATTAATAGTTATGAGTGACCGTATACTTACGAAGGGCGCTATTGAGCACGCCATTCATGAATGGAAGGAAGGGTTCAAACAAAGGAGGCTTCATAAGGTGATGACTATGCAGCACATCAGCCATTACAGCACAAACGTGATGCGGAGAATCTGTCCCTGGACGGAGAGGAGCGTAAGGGTCTGGAGAAGAAACAGGTTTCAATGAGAGCCTTCGTAACTGTATGAAAGCAATCCTCACACTAGTGAACACTACTTAAGCGGTAGTGGAAATAAGGCCTGGAAAAAATTCAGGCCTGTACGGGATTTGAACCCATGACCTCTGCGCTATCCAGCAAACAGGAGTATTCCAAGCTCATCCTACAGAGAATGTTGATGTATCACGGGCAATCCATTCCTCTCAGAATTTGCTGCTGTGATCTCTGGTAGTGAGAGGCTTCACGTAAACAACACTCAAAGACCCGGCATGACTCGAACCCAGACCTCTCGGTCAGGAGTCCTGCGCATTCACCTTTCCTTCCAATGCGCTAACGACGACATTCGTAAGTTGTTTTGCTGTTCCTTCGTCACTTGATTAGGGACCTTAAGAAACCACGACGGCGACGGCAACGAGGAAGTGGAAAAACAAGAGATCTAATTGGCAGAACAATGGCTCAGCACGTGCGTTTTGAAACTTTGTACATTTCTTAGCCGTCCTATGCAAAACAACAAGGTGAAATCGCCAAAATTTGCGTCGTCTGCGAACCGAAACCGCGACGGCAAATTATTTTAATTTCCATTTGGAACTCAAAGGCTACTTTATACGTCATGCTGAAGTTGAGCTGTGGCGCTGTATGAGACAGTAAGCTCCTGCAGCCATTTTTGAAATTCTAACTAAGAGTAGAAATTCATTTTTTAATCGAAGTCTTCCTTAGCGTCGCAGTCGTGGTTTCTTAAAGTCCCTATTATCTACGCAGTACGAGTTCATTGGAATGAATTATTCTAACTATTTTCATGACACTGCCGAAGCGAGTATGAGAAAATATACACCGACTGCCTGCTTGCGACAAAACAATACTCAGTTTTGTGTGAATTGTCTGAAGAGGATTAGTAACCAATAATCAGCAACAATGAGTAATTATAACTAAGTTAAATTTGGAGTCATTTAAGAACAACTGATCATCCTGTAGAACGAAAAAAGGTAGAAGAAACAATCAAACAAACAAACAACCTAAAAAGCAAAGAAAAGATCAGACAGTCTGAAGCGGATTCTGGTAAGAAACAACGTCCAGGTAAGGACCGCAGCAATTTCAGACTTTTCAAAGGCTTCAATAATACACTTACCTTGTTGTAATCTGAGTAAAAGTTCTTTATTCATACAATGGTGAGGACTAATCTGGTGTAGATCTTTCACCTCCCTCCCTGTAACGAAAACTGGCATTTTATATCGAACTCTTTCACCCCTGAAAGTGACTAGCGTCTTAGTTATCCTTACAACATCACCCCTGTGATCACAAGACAAATTCTTCTTGTCAGCATCTCAGGGAATGTATAGAGAATCGTATGGAGAAAAAGCATACTGATGTTAGGGTGGAAAGGGGTACCTTCACTAGACAACAGCCACCTTCATGCAAGTCACGTAACAAAGAAAATCATGCGAAGTCTACCAACTCATTTACTCTTTTTTCTGAGGTTGAATTTTGATTCAAAAGAAGATAAGTAACAAGTCGTACGCTGATCAACAAAGCGATAACTAATAGTCTATCATAGAAGACTAAAAACACATTGATAAAAAAGCTTCAAACAACAAACCATATGTGTCAAGGAAGTCGATGCAGCGATCCACAATTATGCATCCGATATCCCTGGATTTAACATCTCCACTTGAGTGGGGCAGAAAGCTCTGACGGATACAGTAGATATGCCACATCAATGTTCAGTCATAATCATCAGCTACCAAAAGTTCTCTTTTCCTTCACATATCACATATCAGATATCAAATATCACATATCACATATTTTGTTCGGTTGCAACTGTTTATCTACAGTCATATCAATCCAAGACTCCAAGCATGTATTCGTAAAAAGCTATTCAAACTTAAAATAATATTAAAAACTAAAACAAAAAAAAATGCTCACGGTTGTAGAAAAATTAAACTCATAATCTACCTATTTGAAGTTAAGTTGACTAAAACACAACTAGAATTGAAACACAAACTTGTAAAGGAAATTCAGATAAGTCAATAGTTGAAACCTAGGCAATATACAAGACACAATTTTATCAAAAATGCTCACCAGATCTGAGTGCGACTTAGGGTTTTCCATTACGGCCAGTTTGGTCAAGTAAACTGCAAAATACAGAGCGTCTCCCAAGGAATTAATATCTTTTACGGCCTGAAAATGATTTGTAACCAAGAGAAGCTTTTAACAATCATTCTTTTACAGACATTAGCAGGCTAACGATTGGTGGTTTGCAAAGAAGAATTGCAAGCTACTGCAAAGAAGTGATACATTTGTATTACCTTGTGAAATATAAAGAACAGGACTCCATGCAAAGTCTTGGACCGTAGAGTCTTCGTCAACCCACGAAATTTTTCACTTAGCGGTTTTAGAGGCTGAAATGGAAACCAAAGGGCTCCTTTCTGCGACTGGTCATTCTTACAAACACTGGAATAAAATCAGCAACAACAAAAAATGATTTAAATAGAAAACTCCTAAACAGAGAAGGGGAACATACCGGTAGTTGTAAAATCTCCCAGACTGTGGGAATTCCCTTTAACGCATTTATTCGAGTTTACACCGCCCTCGATACTTAAACAAGCTGCTTTGCCATACGTGTCCAATAAACCCAAACCGTTGCAATTCGTCTACGGTCATTGACGAATCGTCGAACCAGAAGTCAAATCGTCCGTGAACATACCGGAAGCCAAAGGGCGTGAGCAATGAGTGAAAATGAGTGGCATGGTATGAGAAAATGAACACATGAACCTTCCACCTTCTCAACGCATGAAACGGCCGGAAGTCCATTTTCAGAATATTATATTAACCAATACAGGGTGTACTGGACAACCCTCAAACTTTGAACCCAAACATCTACTCTTGCCAAACACAATGCTACTCACATAGCTTGATACCGCCGCATAGCTGACTGCACATGTTGACGATGGACTGCTCTTAGCAACACGTGAACAATATCAAAGTCATTCTTCCAAACTGACTCTAAAGATACAACGACAAGGTACAAGTTGAGCTGAAATCCATTCACAAAAAAAAAAACCTTGATAGATCACGTTTTTCTTTAAAATTAAAGTTTTGAAAATCTACAGTTCTATCAAAGACTTCGCACCATGATTTCTGACACAATGTCAACAGCTGCCTTGTGAAAGTTTTTGTGCATATACTAACAATTCGGTAAAATGATAAAAAGACTGGTAAAAGTAAATAAAAAAAAAAAAAGGCTGTACTCAAGCCTATTGGCCCACCCGTCCCGGGTTTATCCTGGTTTCCATAACATGAAGCATCTAGGAGTCTTACAACTCCCCCCCTGGATGGGATTCTAGTCCACGGCAAGGTTATCCCCCCTCCCCCCCCCTCACCAGCATCTTAGCAACAACCCTGTGAGTTGGGTTGTTGCTAAGTATCAGCAGCCGGCAAAATGCCCAGGCTGAGGAAGAGGCAATCGCTGACTGAATATTGCCTGGTAATCGCTCGACAGACGAGTCTTGATATTTTACAGTTTAAGTGAAAAAAAGAAAAGAATAAACCTTTGCGTTTCAAAACAATAATGCGAAAATAAAGACCGAACTACATCTAAGCCGCAGAGTTATTAAAGGTGAAATGAAGTGGTGCTTTGAATTCACCAGTCTTAACTGGTCTACAGTGTCTCTCTCTGTTTCGGATCACCATTTTGTAAACTCAAAGCTTGGTAGTCCTGCAGACAAGATGCTGCAAATGACTGGACCCAGCCAGCTGAATGGCTTCCTCAACTGACAGGCCATTTTCTTAGCTACAGCCCTGACTCATTTATTCGCCAGGGTGGAGAGAGAGAGAGAGAGAGGCACTGTGAGTAAAGTGTCTTGCCCAGGAACCTAACACATTGACGCAGTCAGGTCTTGAACCTAGACCTCTTGACCCAGGTCAGTGCATCTTCCACAGAACCAACAATAAAATTCATGACGTTCATCTACTGTGTCTGGTGTTTGAAATGTGTCTATTTTAAGTTACCTTTGGGTACATAGATCCCTTGTTGCATTGCTCCACTTTCAAATCCAGGAGCCTTGTAGTCTGCCAACTAAAGTATTGATAAAACAAGACACCATTGGCATTTAAACTTTCAGGATTTCTGGATTTACAGAAAGTTACTAGACAGTACGTCTGCTTGTAAGCAAAGAGTTTTATTTTACCAGAACTACATGTAACTATTTACACACCTCACTGAGTATCTTCTCAAAATCTTGTGTGTTGTGAGATTGTCCTGGTTTATCTGGGATGTAAAAGTCTGTTAAGGCAACTAAACACATGGATCATCATCAAGATCAGATATTTAACAATTATTGCACGAGGGCGCATTGGATATGAGATGACAGATAGCCAACGAGGCGCACAGCACCTCCTTGGCTATAATCATCTCATATCCAACAAACGCGAGTGAAATAATTGTTTTATTAAAAAACGCACTCAAGATATTAGACAAATCTTCTCGTCTTTATTTTGTAAGAAGAAACCGGATGTTACAATGTACAGATATTAGATTATGGTATATTGGCTCATATACCATAATGGCTAAGCCAATAAAAAGTCTTGAATTGTATTATCCAATGATCCGGTTTTTAATAAATAATTATGTACAAGGGTATGACCAAGGAACAAACAAATTAAAGTTGTCAGCCAACACCTGTTAGAAAACATGTTTGTTCACATCAAAGTTTTAATTACGTACAATTAAGTCATGTTGAACTTTATTTAATTTGATTAGACTAAATACTTTTTTTTTGTTTATTAAATTAAAAGGATATTAGATCAACAAGTTGGCTGTGAGTCTTATCTCCCATACAAAGCTGTGCAACCATCTCTTTCCGCAAGATTTCCTGATCGGTTAGCCCTTCAATAAAGCACAAAACTTGTCTTAAATACCAACAACTAAATAATAAAAATTCTCTCTTAATTAAGTTCTCAAATATGGCCTAAGCACTGTCTGACAGTACAATCAGAGAACAATGCTACACCTTCCTCTCAGATTCATTTTTGTATGAAAATTACACCTTCCTTTCATTGAGAAAACAAGAGGTCAAGTTCATGTTTCAAACAAGACACTGGAAATAGTGAATTTGTGGTGATGAAGCCAACCACTTTTTTGTCTGTATGATCATCTCAGAAAAAAAAAAAACTGAGATGATAAATTATGGTGTGACAGTGGGATTAATTTGTGGAGATGTACATTCTAGAACAACCATTTATCAAGTTAGCACGTAGTGTAACTGATTACATTCATCGTGGCTCATTACCTAAATGTAGTCGATTGCTGAGGAGTGTGACGAGTAGCATTAACATTCCTTCAACCATTGATACTTCTGAGTCCACATCAAAACTAGGGGGACTGGATACAGCTGGTGCACCAAACTTAAACCAGTGTCGAAGGCCAAAACTATATATCAGTGGAAAAGAAAAGAAACAATGTGTAAATCTATCTTGCTTGTTTTGTTTAGCATTTGCTTGAAAAAAAACTTCGCTCGAGACAATATCCAGGTCTTCATGCTCGTACATGTATGTTGCTGCACTGCAGATTAGATGGCTTGCTGGAAAACTTTACAACTGTGACTGGTAAAGAAAGACCTAGTGTTCTTCCTGCTATGCCACGATGAGTATGCTATGGCAATGTTTCCACATACAATTTATGTACTTTTAGCAACCATTGTAATGTAACTGTCGCAAAACAAAGCAGCACACAAACCTCTCAATCATCATGTTTATAAAGATTTCAGGATCCAGAAACATAGCTCAGACCTACATGATTAAATAATGCTCATTCATGATTTGGTAAGTACAAAAGATGCAACCCAGTTATTAATTAAAAATAGCATTTAACAAACAACTTATTTTCAACATTGGCACAACCATTAAACCCAATGACCAGTACAACTTGAGTGAAAACTAAAAGATAAAAACTGACCAGTTTCAACCATTATAGGTTAATTAAGCCAGCCCTATAAAATCATAGCAAAAACAATAAAAACGTGTCACTAAGTCAGAAGTAAAACAATCAAGTGGCAGTTGAGAGAATTCTGTGCTTGACTCTGGTAAGAAATGCTGTTTGGATTGCTGAGTCATGACATTGTAAAGTTGAGGTTATTAATAGTCATGTTGCCATACAATGGGACTCAATAAAGTACACTTACATTGAATTGTCCAGACTAAAAATTGAACCTTTGCATTAGCCTTTATCATTGCTCATTAATTAGTAACCTTGGTACTGCTAAAAAGAGCAACCATTACATTGTAGACCTTTCACCTGCAACAAGAAAATATCCAAATCTTGCATGGAGTTGCAGAAATGGCAATCGTCATAGAAACGAACTTGACTTCTTATCTGTGAACCATTTCGCACCCATCTACCAGCATGAATTTCACAAATGGCAGCCTGTAAAACAACAAATGGTTCTGTTAAGACCAGAAACAGTTGAACTGACACAACACACAGATACATGTAGAGCAACAGTTCAACTGACAGACCTTTAACAAGATAGTACAAAAAAAAACCAAATGTTTCATAAAATACTTTTGATTTGCAAGTTTTTGTATCAAACTACAATTAAGTCAGAATGTTCTAACCTGGATGTGTAAAAGATCCTCGCATATGTCCCTCAGCAGGTGCCTTGAAGGAACCAATTGCTCAAGAGGAACATCAAACTGAGACACAGCCTGTTGAGTGTTAAAGATGATCAGCAAAAATCACAATCCAAACTTAAGATAACAATCATATAGCAAACATTGCTAAACTTTTTTCAACTAACACTGTTCTATGCTTACCAGGCTAATAAATGCAGCGAGGTGACGATGGAGAGGTAGATGAAATGTAACTTCTCCTCGTTGAGGCTACACCAAATAAAAAAAAAAGAGACTTGATCATCTATTGCACATAAGCTAGGTTGGCTTGGCAAGCCCTATTGTTGTTCATCAACAATTTTGATGACAACATTGACTAAAAATTGACTCCAAGACCCCCTAAGTTGCACTAAAATGTGCATGAACTTTTGCCACTGTCTTCTAATTTTCAACTAGGTATTCTTTCAATTTCAGTGATTTATGAATACCGTCCAATTAAAATTCTCAAAATGCACCTTGAAAGTGAAACTAAGTGGGGGCATGGAGGAATGTTAGATGTGGATATTCTGACATGAGCACACATGACATCTATTTGTGAATGATTCCCATGCCATTTTACAATGTATAGCACCAACAGTGATATAAACAGACCTTGCTATCCACCTTCTTGTACCATCTCTCGAGAGCCTCAACACTTCCATGGATCATGTTTTGAACACAATGTACTTTTTTCTATATTAGCAAGAATGAAATAACTACTATTAGCAGTCAGAGCTCCAGCAGTACAAATGCAAGTGTCCTAAATGTAACTTCTAAACAGTACCCGGATACTAAAATAAAAAATTTTATACTGTAGAGTGAGTAATCTATCCAGCTCTCCAATCCTAACCAAGATATGGTAATACAATTACAGGTGTCTTACATGTAACTTTTAAACAGTACCAACTGAAGGTACCAAAGTTGTACAAAATGTATGCTGCAGAATGAATTATCTATCCATGTTTCTAATCCTACTGCAGTCTGACCAAGCAGCCTTTATATTCCCTCTTAAAATAGGACTGATGAAATGGAGATAATAGAAAAGAGGTTGCCAAATCTACTGATTCATCCGACTTAGGCTAGTACCTTTTTGCCCCATCTGTGGATGTTCACTTTTCGTTAAGGGATGTAGAGGCAGGGGAATAATGTTAAGAGACAAGACAAGAAACAGCAATTGTCCACATCAAAAATTATGTAAACTGTTGAAATTCAGCCAGAAAATTCATTAATAGCAGCCTCAGAATTCTGATAGAACAACCTGCAGCGTTGAATCACTTCTATTTAACCCTGGCCAGTAAAATACCTACCAGTGAAGTACAAGCGTTTACAAAACTCCACAGTGGTGAAGATGCAGCTTCAAGCTCCACAGCAAATGCAGTTCCATAAGTGCTAGGTTCAAACTCAACATGTGTCAGCAGTTTACGGGTATTTACATTCATTCCTAAAATGAGAAAATTATGCACAAAAAAACTTTGTCAAAGTATGCATAGTATTCACTACCATAGCCCATTGCAGAAATGTGAGTGGACAGGGACAAGTTTCTTATATTGATTACATTGAAAATCTAAACATTTCAACTGAAATGTTACTGAATGAAAAGTTGCCCAGCCAAGTTTGAGAGTTTTCAGCTGAAAAGTGTCCAAATTGGAGCCTTGCAAAAGTTGCAAAAATTCCATACAAATCCTTAAAATTTTTGCCCTGTCTACCAATCCATACAAACTCTCTATTTTAGGTGATATTTGAAAAGCTGTCATTTTGCCATTTTCCTCCTCTAAATACTTCTGTTCTTGCTTAAGACTCTCAAATTTACTTGATCTTTCATTTGAATATCTTAGTTTTTCAAACAAACGGAAAACAACCACACTCTTTCCCAGTCCTCTCACGTTTCTGCAATGGCCTATAAATTATATGAGATTCACCGTTCCCATGAGACCGATGAGGCAAAGTCAGATGTTACAGTTAGAATGTAGAGGGTTAAAATAATTTCAAACAAATTTGATTTGTACTTTCTTCTATCTATAGACTATGGTCATGTACATGTACCTGACTAATAGTTAAAAATCATTTTGACCGTTGATTAATAGTAATTTAAACTACATGTACAACATACAAGCTCTCTAGACAATGGAACAAGCTGCTCTTGATCTTTGGAAGATTGATCTGTGTGAAGTTAAACCAATCATTAACTAACCAGTTAAATGCTCAATGAACTTCATCCACTTCTTAATCAGTTCAAGATTCTGCATGAAAGTATGAGCTATTGTCTTGTGGGATAGAACATTGATGAAGTCGCTTACTATTGGCCAGTAACAGTGATTGCTCAGAGCACGACTTTCGCAGTTCACCACATCATGATTAGAAGCTGTGTCTGCAAACAATGATACCACTGAGGCATTTATGAGCACATGAATGATAACCCATGAGTACAGTTTAAATATCAAATGAATGGGCAAATATTTTTACCTGACAATACAAGATAATTAACCAACCAGTATAAAGTATATTATTTCTGATAAAATTAAATGAAAATTTATTAACTCTTTGATCCCTCTGAATGACTGGCATCTAATTCCTCCTTCTCCCTCCAGTTTCTCCAATATCGCCCTGGGCTCGACACTAACAGCAGCTCACAAGCCCCAGAATAGTAGAAATTCAGCTTTGGCTGGTGGTTTTCAATTTCCACTCGCCAGTTTGACTAGTGAACAAACTGAAATTGTGATAACATCCAAGTTGTCATTAGCTACTTGGCTAGTACATTTGAAAAGTTAATGTCGAGCTTTTATCACCCCTGAATCAAAAATCAAGGTCACAGGAATAAACGAAATGATCACCAA